TTTGTGAAAACTAAAATGGCCTATATTTATGTGAGGATTTGATCCTTCTATGTGGCATGAGGTAACCCTGGGCCGGCTTAGGAAAGGCCTTGTTGCGAACCTCCGACACCGACGGGTGTTCGGAATAAGGTCGTATCTTGTGGGTAAAGTGTACCCCTCTGCGGAGGTTAACTAACTGTTCGAACAGCCGTGCCCACGGTCATGGGCGGATGTGAGGTGGTTTCCGTTGCGTAGATTTGTTTGCCTGTGCTTTGTGAAAAGTTGTGGGATGGGAATCGTAACCAGAATCAGCCTATGTGGCAGATGGATGACCTGAGTGGTCAGAAACGAATCTGTGTGATTCGGGATGTCTACGGGCATCATAGACTAGGCTTCCCGAGTGGAAGCGGAATGTGGTGCTGCTGGGCAGCTGGACTCTGGGAGTCCGAGAAAATGAGAAAGGCTCTGGGAGCCGATTAATCAAGTGAAATGGCTCTGGGAGCCGAGAGGTAATGATCTAACCCGGGAGGTCGGTACATTACCAATTGAGTTGTTGAAAAGCATCTCTTAAGTCGATTTGAGACGCAAGTCTCTTTTCAGCCCAAACTTAACAAGAAGTAAATCACTTAGTGATTTCAAAATGATTTCAAACAAAGGATTTGCAAAACAACCTCGCCTCTCTTCCAAGCTTGCATTAAACACCTAAATTCCCGTGACTTGCTAAGTACGAAAGTACTCACCCTTGCTCTATATAAATATATATAGTTCCTCCGTCCTGAAGTTGAAGATGAAGTAAAGTGAAGATTAAGGGTTTTGTCCTGGTTCCCAGCCGTCGCCTGTGGTGTTGGGTGTTAGACCGTTGGTTCCGCTGCTGCTGTTGTTGTTGGTGTTTGCCTCGTCCGTGTCGTCGGTTGCATTCTCGGGCTGTCTGAGCTGCAACCTAAGTTAAGGTAAATAAGTCCTCTATTTATTTTAAGGATTGTAATGATTCATATTTGTCACCGTGGGTACCAGCGCTATGTCCTGGGACTGGTACTGAGATCGCGGTTTCGTAGGGAGCGGTTCGCGCCGTTTTTCCTACGACACGCTCCTATCAGGTGCCGTTGTACGGCGGTGCCAGATTGGGGTGTGACAGGTAGTGTGGCTCTACCCCCTTTCCGTTGATTAGAGTTGTGTTTACTATCGTAGTAGTATCTTCCTTTTTCCTTGGTTTTTTTTATTTTGTCTTTTCTCCCTTCGCTTGGCATAAGCCGGTCTGGTTGATTGCACTGTGTAAATAAACACTTTTTTTTCTGATATATTGACATATAATTATTTTGCGCATTCGTGAAAAAAAAGACATATTTTAGAATTAGTTAAAAAAAAATAAAGTTTGATATTAGTCTCATCCAAAATGACAAGTATTATCAAGTAGTAGTAGGTAACCATGTCGTTTTTTATTATCATCAACTGAAGAATCTACTCTAATTAACTATAATCATGCAACGACAAACCGTTTATGTTCTCTCAGACGATTATAGTACAAGTTTTTCCGGACAGATGTGCATAACAGCAATTCCTCTCGATCTCGATTTTAGTTCGTTTTCATATGGAAGTTGAGCACATATTCCTGGAACAGAACGATTAGCTCCAGGCACTATCGACTTTGTCCTGACCTCATTTGATTTTTTTAAAAAAATTTAAGAATACGCAACAGACTCCATTAGTTTATTTTGTGCAAGTTATTTTTAGACCGAACAGGTTAGTTTCCAGCCGTTTCCAGCGAATTATTAAGAGAGAGTACAACTAAGAGGAGATCTATTAAAAGTATAGCAGCTGAATTTACAAGTTTAACCATACAGTTTTTTTTTACAGAAACTTGAAATTAATTAACTGGGTGAACTGATATAAAGTGGGTTGACAGAAGGCGGTGTAGGCTGATATAATGAAGTCACGGCTCGCAAGGCAGATAGATAGATAGATGTTCAGTAAGGCATGGATAACTCAAACGTAAATTCTGTAGGAAAATACTCGTCTCCATACAGATTCCAAACGTAAATTACAATGGGTACATCACTGCATCGGCAATGAGGGATGTTTTATATCCGGTATTGTGGTTAGATATAATTCAAAGTTTCAAACTAGACATAAAGATGAGGACCAAAAGTGGACTTATTCCCATCAAAATTAACGGGTCGGCCCAGTCGGAGTTTTAAACACCGACCCCTCTTGGCAGCCACAGCTTCACCGCCGCTTCATGTCGTGCTTCGCCGGAGCTCCGACGCAGCATTCCAGCGTGGAGTGAGTCGGTCAGCATCCTCGTCCCCCTCATCGCTGCTGATGGTGTCTTAGCCACCGCCATAGACCATAGGCCTTAGCTCGTCTCCATATGCCCAGAGTGACTGCAGCTGGGTGACAGATGATGGGCTTGTTTGATTCATTACCCTACTAATTCATTGGTAGTGTCAAAGTCTAGGTAAACTTTGGCACTACCAAAATATTGGTAGGATAAAATTATTTAGCAATCATTTAGATTGTTACCGATATAAAGCCAAATTCTTATTGTATAAGGAAGAAGCTTCTAAAATATGACCAAATAAGATAGGGGGCACTGTTAAATATTTGGCTCAATCAAAACTAACGCATACTATTCAATTTGCAATTTGCCTATAAATTGGTAGTGCATATTTTTAGTATCAAAACAAAACGGCCCGATGAACAGCCGCGGCGAGGACGGCTAATGTCAGCAGCAAAGCGTGCCGGCACCTGTGCCATTGGCCGTGCCGGAGGTACGGCATAGCATGCCCGTGTCCTGCACTCCTGCTCCAGTCTCCTCCCTCCTTGAGTTCCATCTATTAACACTCCACTGAACATGCACTCATGCTTCACATTGCTCTGCAGAAGGGGACATCACTATTCCTGTAATCTGAGACAAAAGGCAAGCGCGCCCTATGGGTCGGATTGGAGAGTTTTCTGTCAGCGGCAGGCTGAAGTAGCTTTTTGAGTCCAATATGCCATTTCATTTTTCAAAATTTTGGCACACGAACTAAAAGTGAAATGCTTGTCAGTGGTGGACAGCAACTGCAGGTGACTGACAGTTCGTTTCTCTTTTTCTTTTTTTGAGACAAATAGAATTCAGTACACAGGTGATGATGTGCAGTTTCAGGGTGTGTTTAGTTCACACTAAAATTGGAAGTTTGCTTTGAAATTAGAACTATGTGACAGAAAAGTTAAAAATTTGTGTGTGTAGGAAAGTTTTGATGTGATAGAAAAGTTAAAAATTTAAAGAAAAAGTTGGGAACTAAACTAGGCCTCCGTCAAACAACCGTTCTGAGCTTGTGATAGTCAAGTCAGATAACAAGTAAACCATAGACTTAAGGAGACTAAAACAGAGAGAAAAAAAAAGAAATGTTTGTCGAGGCTTTTTTTTTTGAATAATCATAGGAGAGAGGTTCCCCACCTAAATCTTCCATTTCTCTTTTCTTTTTTTAGAGAACGATATTTTTTATCCAGCCTCTACATCCAACTGGATATATACGGCCATTGAAATAGAAAACTTTGCCCCGCAAATAACCCAATCTCTTAAATTCGCTCCTATGGAGATATAAACTCAGAACCTTGAGGTACTACACGTGTAGCCACATCGAACAAAACCGAAGTCAAAACCACTGAGTGACCTAGTTTGTACTGGTTTTGTAAGTTGGGGGATGCGCTATATCCGGTTTTACGGTTGGAGGACGATTTTGTAACTCGATGACAAGTTGAGCGACCTTCAGTGTACTTTTCCCAACTCCGAACCCCTGAGGCCCGAGCCATGTTCTTACTGGGCCCGAACGGGATTGCTGCCAATCTGCGGCCCGTTGAAGTTGGGCCTGAGCGGGACTGTCACCAACGTACGGCCCAGTTCGGTCAGAACGGAATTTCAGTGTTCGAACGAGCCGTATTAGTTGGGACGGGAAGACACTGCGACCCATGTGAATTGGGCTTCACGTGACGGCCGATGTAATCATCTGGGCCTTTCGGCTGCCTAACCCGGCGAGGACGGAGATATTTTACCCTTTTTATTATTTTTTTTAAAACTTTTTAATTTCAAAAATAAATCATCAGAAACTTATTTTAAGATCTAAATCTCTTAGCCATGGTAATTCACATGATATGACAAAACAACACTGTCACATCACCCATAACGAACGTGACAGTTTTATCCTGCCACACCGATTAAGGAGACTTGGCAAGACAAATGTTGCCATGTGTCAATGTCGTTAGCTAATTAAACGATATATATTTAAGTTTTTGAAATGGATAATTTTAAAATTAAAAGTTAAAAAGTTAGGAAAAAGTAAATAGAAAATCTGCGGCCTATTCAGATTATAGCCAAAATAAATCTTACCAAATTTTGGCAAGATAGCAATATTACCAAAATTTTGGTAGGATTTCTTATGTATTTACTAAATTCGGCAACAAACTAAACGTACCATTTTTTTAGCAACTTTATCAAAAAATAGTATAGTTAAAAATGACATCAATCTGGTTACTGTATGTGAACGCTGCCGGCGACTTCTGCAAATCCGGTGAGTTGATAATTGATAATTCACCATCTTCTCGCCATATCCGTGTGACAGCGCACTTGGATTCTTCCTGCGCCCGGCTTGCCGCTCTCCCTCATGTGAGCAAGTACCATAGCTGCCGCTTGCTTGCCTCTCATATCTCACCAAATCCTTCCATGGCGTGTCAACTCTGTCAACTAAACAATTCACAAGATAGCCGGTTTAAGAAGCGTAAATAGTTCCAGCTAATCATTCCCCTTGCCCTTGGGTGAGCTGAGCATGCAGCAGCAGAGAACATGCGGAAGTGGCAGCGTGATCAGCTTAATTACGGATCGAATATAAGACGCGTAGCTGCAGATCGATCTGGTGGAGAGAAATGAGAGAATCTTCTTCTTCGTTTGCATGTTAGTGTGCCTGCAAAGAAGCTACGAAGAAACAAGGAGATCACCGATCTGACGACGCAATTAATTGGAGCTGAGTGTGTGCAGTGTACGTACATGCGCCATTCGCGCTGCAGCGCAGGCAAAAATTCCATGCCGGTGATCCCGCTCCTATTTAAGATCACTCGCATTTCTTCATAGTTACTACTACCACTGTCACTAACTACATTGCAGCAACTCGGCGAGCTAGTCCACCTGCAAGATTCATGGCGATGTGGAAGAAGAAGAAGACACCGAGCATTCTGCCGCTCGTCGTTGTCATCGCCGCGGCGTCGCTCATCGCGCCGACGACGGCAGGCTGGTCCAGTGGCACGGCCACGTTCTACGGCGGCAGCGACGCCTCCGGGACGATGGGTACGTATACGCATTGGCGCACCAGTAAGTAGGTACAGTTTCAGAGTCGTCGTTAGCTAACAGAGGCCAGGTGAGGTGACCACGCACAGGTGGGGCGTGTGGGTACGGGAACCTGTACTGGTCGGGGTACGGGACGAACACGGCGGCGCTGAGCTCGGCGCTGTTCAACGACGGCGCGTCGTGCGGGCAGTGCTACCAGATCGCGTGCGACCACCAGGCCGAGCCGCGGTGGTGCCTGCAGGGGAGGACGGTGACCATCACCGGGACCAACCTGTGCCCGCCCAACTACGCCCTCTCCAGCAACGACGGCGGCTGGTGCAACCCGCCTCGCACGCACTTCGACATGGCCGAGCCCGCCTGGCTCCAGATCGGCATCTACAAGGCCGGTATCGTGCCGGTGCTGTACCAGAGGTACGTATACTACAATAATATTGGACGGTTTGACTCTCCATGTCCATGATAATTAAGTCAAACCAATGCCATTAACTATTCACTAATTAATCATCATTACTACGTACGATCTGTGATTCTTTGTGGACGTATGTAGGGTGCCGTGCGTGAAGCAGGGAGGGGTTCGGTTCACCATGGGAGGGTTCAACTACTTCGAGCTGGTGCTGATCTCGAACGTGGCCGGGAGCGGGTCGATCCAGTCGGTGTGGGTGAAGGGGCCGAACACCGACAGGATGCCCCTGAGCAGGAACTGGGGCGCGAACTGGCAGTCGCACGCCGGCCTCGTCGGCCAGACGCTCACCTTCGGCGTCACCTCCACCGGCGGCCAGACCCTCGTCTTCCAGAACATCGTGCCGGCGTGGTGGAAGTTCGGCCAGTCATTCTCCTCCAACCTCCAGTTTTCCTACTAACAGGCACACTACAACGGCATGCAGAGCAAGATCAGTATAATAAGGCTGCAGATTGAAGAAGCTTACATAGTGGGGAAAGAGCATGCACCAGGAGAGAGCTAGTGAAGACTAGTAGCCTATGTAATGTGTATAGTAGTAGTAGTACTACGCAGGTCCATTCATGGCAAGGCAGGTCGAACTAGTAATCTCACTCGAGGTTTGTGACCGATCTATCATTCGTTCTGTACGTAGATGATGTTAAAACTACATTCTTGATGTACATTGTTCCCACCGGGAAATGAAATTATATGCTGAGTTTCATGAGTTACTACTTACTGGCGGCTACCAGTCATTTCTACCGTGATATAAATCAGGGTCTCATTTGGAATGCGGAAATTTTCCTGCTGACTCCTGAGAAACTTTTATGTTTACACGGAAGACACGATCATGGCTACACCAAATGGCGATTAGTCCTCACCACTTTGTCTTACACTGACACTGTTATTGTCTACTTGGATGCCACAAAATGCTTTGATCCGCTAATTGCCAGTGTCCAAAGCAAAAGGTGCTGATTTCTTCTAGCTCCAGCGCCTTTCTGTAATCTAGCTGAACTCGGTGTATGTCCTTGTAACCCTCTTTCTGACGATCTTGACATCAAGACCGGCAACCTGCCACCAAAAACTTTTTGAGGAATCATTTCAATAATTCAAAAACAGGGAACATTAAGAATCATTTAGTGGTTTGCAGTGGGGAAGGGAAGAAGGAAAGTCTAAGGACTCTACCACTAAGAGAACTGGCAGTGGAATTTACTGGATATGAATGATAAATCCTACGAACACAGACAAGCTCATGCATGCCAACACAACTACACACAAGTACCCCGTATGCAAGTTTGCAACTAGTTCCTGCAGAGGCATCTATCGTAGCATATGATGCGTCTTTGCCCAAAGAAAGAAAAACATTTTTCGTACGCCTGATGGTTTAATTCAAAGGGAGAGCAAATAGAAGTCAGTATAATAGTGCACAACTTGACAGCATTTTTCCTGCTTAAAAATGTAATCAATTTCAACGCCGTACCGCGCGCGGTACCGGTGGCTAATTAAATCTGCTGACTCTTTTAGTCAGCTTTTTCCAAATGATTAGACATCTAAGTAGGCGCTGAGTTAATAATCAATCTGATCAGTTGTTTATCCACCTCCTAGCTATCTTCCATGTGCTGACAGTGCTGGCCCCCTCATGGCCTCATGTGGCTCAGAGTTTCTTTCCTACCAAGAATTTGCAAATTCCACATAGATGCTGATAAGCCATGGCATGCATGCACAGTTCATTCCAAATTATATTTTTGTCCATAGATTATCAGACTAATATCTAAGTAGATCCATTTTATGCCGGCAAGTACGGATTACTGAACATGCAAGGTACATGCATGAAATGTATTATTTTCCAGGTCATGATTATCAGGAGAAAATGCTAAGCCGTGCTGATGATGATGCCCAGCTTGCAGGTTTACAGCGTATCAATCACCTGATTGAACGCGCAATTCCATCTCCAGGGTTCGGCTTACATTTTCCTTGCATGCATGTGAGCCTAGCTTGCACTGCTGACTGAGATATCGCCGGCATGTTCTCTGCAATTCCCTGCTCTGATCTGACCATAATTCTCATTCCTGCTCTTATATAACCCCCTCCACGTTCACTGCAAAACCATCAGAAAATTCAGAACCTCGGTAACCTCCTGATCAGTGTTCGATTCTCTGCTCTATCGTCTCGACGGAGATGGAGTACGCGATCTTATTCGCCACGTCGTTGGTGATCACCGTGCTAGCAGCATCCGGCTTCGCGCCGGCGCATGGCTGGAACAAAGGGACGGCGACGTTCTACGGCGGCGCCGACGCCTCCGGCACGATGGGTACGTAAGAAAACCTTTGGTGCTCTATCAACTACGGAGTGCTACGAATCTGTCATTGCGTTGTCAGTGTTTCTCACGGAGACCTGCTGCTGTGTGACTCTGTGTGTTCAGGTGGCGCGTGCGGGTACGGGAACCTGTACACGGCGGGGTACGGGACGAACACGGCGGCGCTGAGCTCGGTGCTGTTCAACGACGGGTGGTCGTGCGGGCAGTGCTACCTGATCATGTGCGACGCCGCCGCGACGCCGCAGTGGTGCAGGGCGGGCGCCGCGGTGACCATCACGGCCACCAACCTGTGCCCGCCCAACTGGGCTCTCCCCAGCAACAGCGGCGGCTGGTGCAACCCGCCCCGCCCTCACTTCGACATGGCCGAGCCCGCCTGGCTCCAGATCGGCATCTACAAGGCCGGCATCATCCCCGTCCTCTACCAACAGTAAGTACTTACAGTGTATTACAACTAGTAGTAATCCGTAATTACTGCTCTTAAGTACATTCTAACATGTTAATTTCAAACGGATGAACGGTTGCTTTAAAATATCAAATAAATCTATTTCTAAAGTTTGTAATAATAAAAAATCAATTAATCATACGCTAATAACTTTCTCATTTTGTGTGCACTAACTTTATCTTCGTCGATCTTAAACACCTATACCTAATTGATGTGTAGGGTGAAGTGCTGGAGGCAGGGAGGGATCAGGTTCACGATGGGAGGGTTCAACTTCTTCGAGCTGGTGCTGGTGTCGAACGTGGCGGGGAGCGGGTCGGTGAGGTCGGTGTCGGTGAAGGGGGGAAGCACGGGGTGGATCACGCTGAACCGGAACTGGGGCGCCAACTGGCAGTGCAACTCGGGGCTCGTCGGCCAGGCGCTCTCCTTCGCCGTCACATCCACCGGCGGCCAGACGCTCTACATCTACAACGTCGTGCCCAGCTGGTGGAGCTTCGGCATGACATTCACCAGCAACCAGCAGTTCAGTTATTAGCAGGGAGAGGAATTTGTTCGTCTGCATGATCTCAAGCTGGGAAATTAATTTGTTAGTACTTTTTTTGGATTAATTGTACATGTATGTACATCTTGAATTCGTCAAATATATTAATTATTTGAACTCAGCAGTGTCTTGACTCTTGATTAGCAGCTAACATGCATGGCTACCCAACAGCTAATACAAATCTGAAGAAATGTGAACATGCTAGAAGTTATATATGGATCGGAGTATTTCTCCTGTACTGTTACTCTATACTTCTACTCTACAAGACTACAAGAGGAGAGGACTGCTGTTACGTACAGGGTGCTATTAATCACTCTGTCGGTTATCAGGCTATCAGCAGTTGACCACGCGATTCTGAGAAATTTTGCCCAACTTGGGAGAGAAACACACGAGACCTGCTCACGGGCCTCATCGCGGCTTGAATTGAACGGTCGATGGCCGCGCCGGTGCCAGAGGCAGCCACGCGATACGGCAGCCGCACCGGCACCGGCACCGGCAAACTGTCGTTGCGTATGTGTACAGGACAGTAGACACCCGTCGTCTTCGGCCCGGCAACTACGACGCCTGCGGACGCCGCTTTCCGCCTAGAGCGAGGTTTTGTTTTTCTCTATTCTCCCAATGGTTTCTTCGGATGAAAATCACATTTTTCTTTTCGAACGCGCAAAAAAGATTGCACGTCAATATATTAGAAAAAAGTGAAAACTACATCGTGGATTTTAGGATAGGCAAACAGCGATAGTCTTGGCGTCATTTAGAATACCCATTCCGGATGTTGAGTGCTTGTTTTTATTTTTCAGCATCAGGATCAGACGTAAACGCTTAGTGTGACTGTCCTTTTCTGTTTTCTAACTTATATTTTTTATGCTATATCAATAAAAACGTCGTACTATTTTATATTTTGTGCATGTTGTCTCGAAAAAAATAGACCCGTCGCCACTAGGGAAATGTGGCAGGTTGGGACGTTGGGTTTGTGCCGTCCATATCCAAGTTTAGCAAGTAGTGCTACCTATGCTGCGTGTACATATGTACCACGTTTTTGCATGTTTTTTTTTTTTTGAACGGGCGTTTTTGCATGTTAACATGTGCTATTGTTAACATGCAGTGTCATATGGGCTACATGTGATTTATGGCCCATGGTTATGCTGCAGATTTCCAGCCTTGGGCTTCTCTCACGGGCCAGACACTCAGGCAGGCTTTCAGCCCAAATCTACACAGAAAAACTCGCACCAAAGCAACTCGCTAGTTTAGAGATCACGAGATAGCTTGGAACTTAAAAGAGGCATTGTTCACGAGATAGCATGGAACTTGAATGGTTTCATTCTGTGATGTCAAAAAGTAGCTATTCCCTTATATGCTACTTGATAAAATTTTCATTATTTTTTATGCCATTTTCATCACCACGTTAAATGGGCATATTTAGTAAAAAAAAAAAGGCATCGAAATGATAACATTATCCTTCATCTTCGTACATTTTTCTTCTCTTTCTCTATCCTTGATCTCCCAAAATTTTTAGTACGGTTGGCTCTGTTGGTGGCCAGTAACTAGTAATAGGTGGTGGTGGCGACGACAGTACGATGATAGCCGATCTGCACTCAATATTATGAAGAGAAGCGCTCGACTAGTCTAGTAACATAGAACTCCCACGGGCGTGCTTATTGGCAATGGGCACCGTTGAACGCACCCATTGACGGCTGCCTGCACTTACCCTTCCAAAGATGCCCTGTGCCGGACTGCCGGTCGTTGAGCTGCCTCTCCAATGACACCTCGTTGGCGCATGACATCGACACACACTGCTATGGCGCACTCTGCGACCGGCCATGACGCATGACCTCTCCATGTTGGCTATGTATATAGTTGGGGGAAGAAGAGCGGGCCGTCGCTCTTTTTTCATACATGAAATCAGCATTGTTGTATAAGATTCAAACTCATCGAAAGTCTGACAAAGGAACGTTCATGCTGTTTGATTTGAAGAATGAAACTGTTGGGTTTAGGGGCTGTTTGATTGGTTGTGTAACACTACCTAAGCCAGCCAAACATTTGTGGCTAAGTTGCCAAAGTTGTGGCCAAGAAAATTGAAGCCACATCTTAGCCTCCTTACCACACATTATTGTATCTATGAAATGTGGGGTCAAGTTAAAGGAAAGTTTGGCATGACTAACTTGTGGCTAGAACCAAACACTATACTAACTTGGTCAAACCTATTTGCCATACTTGTGGTAAATTGAGGCAAATTTTGACTAGCAACCAAACAGCCCCTAAGTCCTACATAGTAATTGTTACCAGGGGCACGACTTAAAGATAGAGTTGATCCTCATCCATTAGACTATTTTTTTTAGTTGTATAGGTGTATTACCAAAAGTTATAACTACGATTAGACCTATGGTAAAGCAAGTATAATATAACCTTCAGGCTGGACCGCGCCCTCTAACACAAACCATCTTGAATGGGTGATTTCTCACCACCATCAATCCGTTATCATGTTCCAGCCCAATCAAAGCGGCCCACGTGTTAGTGGCAAACACTGCAACCCAATAAAATTGGGATTCAGATTGGGTGACATGCCTATGCTATGTCACTCAATCTGAATCTATAAAATTGGCCCGCACGTTAGTAGCAAACATGCTCTCATCCAGCTCACCAGCAGGTCTTTCATAGCCATAACGCTCCTCACGCAAGGGCGGAATAAGAACAAAATAAAGGAGGGTGCTTCTTGCTTAATTTACTCTACTTTAGATCAAGCTTAAGTTGGTGGGGGTGTCTAAATTTGTATTGAGACAACTATAGTTGTGAATGTGCGATAACTATTTTCAGTTTAATTTGTTATTTTCATTGCAACTTGTAGAAGTTGAATTTAATTTTGCATGTTTGTGAAGTGATATATTTCATATTAGTCTATGTTATCAGTTTTTTTTAAAAAAATTTAATAACTATTTAGATGACATACAAACAATGAGGGAATATCCCCTCGAGGAATGAAAATCAACATCCAGATACAACTAATTTTTTTTGACGGGATTCTTAGCACCCCCATCCCGTACTCTACCTCCACTCGCGGGACGTGCACACGAGTCGGCGTGGTTTCACCACATGCAGGATGAGCTAAATTTCAACGCAAAATACACAGTGAAAGCACAAAGATACTGCAGTCAATTTACAGGGCCAATGGCCAATTCATTTCATTGAGATCATCATCGGGTCAAACAGTAAACTCGCATGTGGTTTGCGCCTTCCAATGAGCGCCATATTTCAGCATTACACGGATCGATCAGTGCCTGCACTCCTTACCTCGTGTCCAAGCAAAGTCGTCTAAATAGTTTTCCTTCCCAGCAATCATCGTAAAAGCGGTTAGGCATGGCGGGCTATCGATCAGGCCGCCCGGCCAGACGAACACCGTTGGAACCCGCCTCAGCCATGCAAACCACAGTGGCGTTCCCCTAGCTAAGAATACATTTTTTTCCCCAATCAGAATGATGCTAAATAAGCTGGTCTTTTTGACAAGTTTTCCAAATGCAAAAATTGAACGGAAATGGCGGCAGGTGGCATGCGCCGCTCGCCGTTGGGCAAGCGCGCGACGGCGGCGGCGGCTCATGCGCCGCCGCGCGCGCGCGCGAGCCGCTAGCTAGTAGAACTGCACGCCGCTGGTGAATGTCTGGCCGAACTGCCAGTTGGACGGCGCGACGTCCTCGAAGACGAGCGTCTTGCCGGCGGTGGAGGTGACCGAGAAGGAGATGGCCTGGTTGTTGAGGTAGTTGTTGGCTTGCCAGTTGGCGCCCCAGTTCCGGGACATGGTCACCCACCCCGTCTTTGTTCCCTTGATCTGCACCGACTTGATCGACCCCGGCCCGCCCACGTTGGTGATCAGCACCAGCTCGAAGTAGCTGTTCCCGTTGATGGTGAACCTCACCCCTCCTTTCCTCGTGCACGACACCCTGCACACATACGTATACGTACGTGATCACTACTTGATTCTGTGCGCCGCCGGCCGGCGAAACGACGGTGACCGGAGTATGTGCGTACCTCTGGAAATTGACGGGGACGATACCGCCGCGGTAGACGCCGATCTGTTCCCAGGCGGGTTGCGCCATGTCGAAGTGCTGGCGCGGCGGGTTGCACCAGCCGCCGTCGTTGCTCGGCTTGGAGTAGTCCGGTGGGCAGAGGTTGGTCGCGGTGATGGTCACCGACGTGCCCGCCTTGCACCACTTCGAGTTGGACTGGTCGCACGTGATCTGGTAGCACTCGCCGCACGCCGCGCCGTCGTTGAACAGCGCCGAGCTCAGCGCCGCCGTGTTCGTCCCGTACCCCGTCGAGTACAGGTTGCCGTACCCGCACGCGCCGCCTGTCGATCAACAACAAACGCCATTGTCAGCACCAGTCCATTGGTGTGTGTAAAACTGATCAGGCTTAATTAGCAAATGTCTAAACTATACCCATTGTGCCGGAGGCGTCGCTCCCGCCGTAGAACGTGGCCGTGCCACTGAGCGCCGCGGCCGTCGCGGCGATGCACGCCGCGACGGCGGCGACGCAGTGGAAGAAGAAGGCACTCCGCGCCATGACGTCCCTCGAAATGGCTTCAGATGCGAGCGCTTAATTAGGCGGTGCGGGTAATGTATCTGAGTACTGAGGAGGAGGGGACGGTGTCACCCGCGGCGGTGCTTAAATAGGAAGTGCGGCGGCCACGAGATCGACGAGCGCGCGCCTCCCGAGGCAGACTCACATGCCGATGCATGTTGCAACCCACAGACGACGCTGCACCGTGCCGCCTTAAATGCCACGATTCCTATATCTCCATTTCCCTTTTGTTTTCCTTCCAAAAATCCTCAACATTTCGAAAGAGAAAGATTCTTCCGATCTCTGCAAGTCTGCAAACCCGGCCGACTCTGCTATTTTTCTGAGGAAGCAAATCTGGCAAATGGCCGGTACACTGTCTCTCCCAAGTCACACTAGCTGCACGACGTGGCCGGTCTTATGATACGGGCCACTAAACAATCATTTGGGAGTGGATAATTAGTGGTGGGATCGATCGATCGAGAGCTAGAGGCGGAAGCGTCACGTGAGGTCACGAGACTCGGCTGCCTGGAGCACATGGGATTACGGCCGGGGAGGTCGCGTGATTACCTAGGGTCATTGGATCGAGAAGCGTCGGTAATCATGTTGCACCCCCTTGGATTTAGGCGGTTGACGCGCGTTAATCCAACCCCCGGCTCCCCTCAGACAAATCACCACCACTAGTTGCGCCCATGACAGTTTGATTCTTGGAATTGCAGGTGGTCCCCACTGGTAGGTATCAGTTAGCTAGGTCTGGAAGCTAGGGAATTTAGCAGTGCAAATAGGTGATTAATTTTTGTTTCAGATGATGGGGGTAGTGGAGCTCTCCCAGTGCTCAGATTTGTTGTTTTTTGTTTGGTTGATGGGGATCTACGAAAAGAAACTATTGCTTGCTTGTAAGTCAACTGTCACCGAGGCCCTCCATTGGACTATTAGGGCAACTGGTTGTGGATGTAGTGATGTACTGCATTTTTTAATTAGTTTGTAAGACCTCACTTTATCTATTGGTGGCCATGATAGATCATATGGTCAAACCTCTAGATTTGAATGGTGAGAGCTGCAGTGACAGAAATAGCTGACAAATTCATATTTCCCTCTGTTTTATTCTGGTTAAGTTACTTGACTGACAGTGATGATAGAAGCCTTTTCTTTTGGTTTCTCAATGTGTAAATCGAATTTGAATTTGATTTTTTTGGATTAGTAGATATCACTATACTCTACATTGCCAAATATTTTTTTAGAATTTTTCACAACTATTTGTATCAAATTTGAAAGAAAAAGATACATGAGAGGATATCCTCTCGAGAGATTAGAATCCACTCCGTGAGAAGCCTTTTCTTTTGCTGAGGCTATGGTGTGCGTAATACACAGTCTTACATGATTGGCAACCTGGTCTGTTTAAAGGGTTGATGCTAGCCCTTTGTGTAACATCCCGGTCTAGAGCTTAATAGGATTAATAGAATACTCATATCAACAAGTTGCAACTTCTTTTCCGGAAGCCAATCTCCAAAGAACTCTAGGGTTAAGCGTGCTTGGCCTGGAGCAATTTGGGATGGGTGACCGACCGGGAAATTCTTCCCGGGTGCACACGAGTGAGGACAAAGTGTGCAGAAAAGATATGTGTTGGTCTGTGAGGGCAGTCTATGACCTATGAAAGCTATCAGATGTAAGCGGGCCCGGCCTGGGGGAAGGCGGGACGTTACAAAATGGTATCACACATGGACGTGGCCAAGAGATGACGTTCCTGGCCTAGGGTTGATCGACGGGGGCGTCGATCTCTCTTAAGGGGGTGAGGGTAATACTCATATCAACAAGTTGCAACTTCTTTTCTGGAAGCCAATCTCCAAAGAATTCCAGGGTTAAGCGTGCTTGGCCTGTAAGCGGGCCCGGCCTGGGGGAAGGCGGGACGTTACAAAATGGTATCACACATGGACGTGGCCAAGAGATGACGTTCCTGGCCTAGGGTTGATCGACGGGGGCGTCGATCTCTCTTAAGGGGGTGAGGGTGTAACATCCCGGTCTAGGGCTTAATAGGATTAATAGAATACTCATATCAACAAGTTGCAACTTCTTTTCTGGAAGCCAATCTCCAAAGAATTCCAGGGTTAAGCGTGCTTGGCCTGGAGCAATTTGGGATGGGGGACCGACCGGGAAATTCTTTCCGGGTGCACACGAGTGAGGACAAAGTGTGCAGAAAAGATGTGTGACCTATGAAAGCTATCAGATGTAAGCGGGCCCGGCCTGGGGGAAGGCGGCGGGACGTTACACTTTGCTTCCGATTTCTACAGATGCTTCAAGATTCATTTTTTGGGCTACAAGCTTATCTAGCTAGTATACAACCTTTTTTCGCATATTAAAGATGCCACAGAACCATGCATGTACACTGGCTTATGGTCGGCTATATGATAAGCACTATAACAAACTAGACAGGGATTCCTCACACTTGGCAGTACTGCAAATTGCTCCTAATTAAATCATGGGTTCCATATAAGATTCTTGGATGCGGATGAAGCCACTTGGTCAAACCGGTTTGTTAATATTTTACCCATTTGCAGCATATGTTCGGGCGATTAACCACGCCATGTGATTATGGCAGCTTGATCTGTTGCTACCTCTGCGCCACTGAGATTGATCGGCTTCTTTGAGTCACTCAACGATGGGCCAGCAGGCAGCCGCCACCCGCCAGTGGGTTTTGGCGGTGGGAAACCGGGAATGACGATTTTAGCTCGATAACTGCTAACTGGCCTGACCCCTGTTATAGTGCAAAAAACTGTCCACTACTCCAATCATGTGAGAAGGGAAAAAAAAACGTAGAGTAAAAGAAGGAAAAAGAGAAAAATGGGAGATAATGTCACCAAACAAATTGGTAATTTCTGGAAGACATATACGAATTGGGTGTCAAATATTATGAGGCTTGCGAATTGAGTATCGGATTCTAAACATTCTGGTGACCGTGAGCGAAAAACGGTGACGCTAAGTTTATGGGCATATTACTTTACCCACTGTGTTTGAAATCCTAATGTGGTTAATTTAGTTAGTTTCGTGGAATTATTTCTAGCCTCAATGTCTTAATAATGTGCTAAATGAGGGTAAATGTATTTTCATGTAATCATATAATCAAAAGAAAAAAAAATATCTCAAGACTACTTGTTTTGGTTAAAAAAAACTCTGTTTGTGCTATTTGCACTCTAAATAAACCTTTTTTTTAATCAATTTTGTTATTGTGTCTAAATTATGCCAAGGTTGGGTTTACCTTGTACTCCAAGAACTTATTTTGTCCACGAAATTTCTAGAACAAAACTTGTCTCGGACACATACCCACAAGTCAAATGCTGAACTCAACTTTGATACAGAGGCATAGAAAACCGTACATAAGACTTTGCCTTGAGCATCTGCCATGGTGAGTGTGTACGTGGTACTAGTACATTGTACGGTGGACTTTAAGCTCGCCCCCTCGTGCTTGGTTAACAACATCACAAGATTGTTCCATGTGCTAATTAAGACTGTTCCCGCTCACCGCCAATTTCTTTCTTCTCTTCTTGGGTTCTTGATTTCTCGTGAACAGAATCATAGCTTTCCGCAATCGTAATCAGCCATGGCGATCATAGTTTTTGCCAGCAATCCTGACAAGAACTTCTCCCTGAGGAACTTGATCACCGGGTTGGTGCTCTGCTGGATGAAGCCGACGACGTAGGCCGCCGTGATCAGCCGGATGCCGCGCCACCGCCTCTCCTCGGCGTACTTCTCCAGCGCCACCGTGACGGCCTCGTACCCCGGGTCGTGCTCGGCGCCGTCGGCGAGGAAGGCCTCGCTGAGGCACCGGGCGAGGACGACGCCGTCCTCGAGCGCCGCGCAGCCGCCCTGGCCGAGCTCGGGGGTCGTCGGGTGGAAGGCGTCGCCGGCGACGCAGACGTTGCCCCTGCTGATGCTGCCGCGGACGAGCGCGAGCGGCGACCGGAACCTCAGCGGCGCCGGGATCCTCGCCGCCTTCGCCAGCACGTAGCTCCGCATCTTGGCCACGCTCTCCTCCGCGTCGCCGTCTGTGCACACCACACGTGACAGATTGATCAGCGAATTAATCCGCCATTGTTGCTGCTCGTCAAGGAGAAGTAACTAGCAACGGTGCGCACCATCAGGGGAGGGGTACCGGGTACTCGGCGAGGCCCCTGGTGGCCGAGCGCCCTGAGAGGATTGGCTTTGGCAGGCCAAGCCACTTCGCCACCACCGAGTTCACGCCGTCGCATCCGATCAGCACCTTCAACAAAAGCACATCAATGCATCAGGCCATGGCTGCTCTTAGTGAGAAGAAGAGAGGTACAAGTGATCTGCTAGCCATTGTTGATCTCACACACCTATCGTTGAACCATCGGCCAAATGTAGGAGCTTGACGTTGCTATCTTCCCCAGTCGAGACGATCTTGGAAGAGAACCTGATGGTGCCCTCCGGCAGCTCGTTCTCCAGCGTCTCTCGTAGGAAGTTGCGCTTCACGCGCCGAATCTCATGCGGTCCACTGACGAAGTAACGACACCACGACGATTTCAGGGATTGTTTGGTTTGCAACCATGCCAAACTATTGGCAATGCCAAATCATGGGCAAGATTTTGCCAATGCCAATATTTTAGCAACATTTGTGTGGTATTGGTAAGTATTGGTAGCAAAACAAACATTACCAAAATTACTGTTCAAAATACCAATATTTTGGTATGGCAAGTTTTGGCTTCAAACCAAATCAGCCCTCAGTTTTCAGATGTTTACTCGTATATGATTTTGTACACAAAATTTTAACATTCAGGTTTCAGCTAGTAGCAGTAGTTGCAGACATTACACCTTTTCCCTTTCATCCTTAGGCTCTTCTTCGCGGCAGGCTTTCCCGTGGATGCAGAGAAGGCCACCAGCCTGCCAACAAGCACGACAAGTCACAACTTCAGTCGATCACAGACTCTTTAGTCTTAGGGTCTGTTCTGATTAATGTCAAAATTAACCTTACTAAAATTTGTCAATATCAAAAATTTGACAAATTAACAACATTGCTAAAATTTTGGTAGGATTGGCTTAATAATGTTGCCAAAATTCTATACACATTGCCAATATTTGATAACAAACTAAATATAACCACATAATTATTAATTTGTTAAATAATGGTATGGTTAAAAATGTCGTACAGATTACTCCTGCAACTTCAGTAGGTTAATCGAAGGGTAAACTCAAAAAGATGGGCTGGAAGGAGCAAGAGATAGTGTAAGCCCACAAGTTCAGAGCTCAGACACGGAGTGGGACTGTGAAAAAGCCCAAAACTTATAGGAATAAGTCCATTTTGCCTCCCTCATCTCTTGCGTTTGCGTGAATAACATCCCTCAACCGAAAAACCGGGTATAACGCCTCCTTCATTTCTGAAAACCAGAGCAAATCACCTCCCTTGGTGGTTTTGCTGGCGACTTCGTCTGACGTGGCGTTGTTGACCCGTTGACAGGCTGACTCAGCGTGGTGGGACCCACATGTCAGTGTGTAGCTCTCTCTCGCTTATCTCTCTCTCCCCCGGCCTTTCTCTTCACTTTGGTGGGGTAGGGGCGCGGCCGGCGATGGGCAGCAGCGGTGCTCGCTAGCGACGAACGGGGAGTAGACTGACGGAGAGGAGCTGGGCATCGGCGGCGGGGAGTGGTCGTGCCGTGGCCGTCCTAGCAGCGAGCCTGCACCTGCATACCGGCAGCGAACCCCGCGCCTGTACGCCCAGCGGCGACCTCGCGTCCGCATCTTGGCGGCGCCGTCGCTCCGCCACAACGCCCGGCCGGAGAGGACAAGAAACAAAGAAGAAAAGCAAAATGAAAGAAAGGAAAAGCGGCAGCATCGGCGCCATGGAAACCGGTCATGCATCCGCTCCACACGCCGATGCACTGCAGCACCGGCTGCCCATGACGCTAGCCGCTCGGCCTGGACGCGCCGCCGCCGCACGGTTGCGCCATGACGAGCGAATTGCCGGAGCAACAAGAAACAAAGAAGAGAAGAAATGGAAAAAAGAAAAGGGGGAAGAAGACGCCGACGAACGTTGGTCGCCGGCCGTACCGACACCGATCCGACCAGCCGTCACGCCTCCCTGGCTGCATCGCCGTCTGCGCCATGCTCGCTGGCCTCGTGTTAACAGTGAAATTTGGTAATCGGCAAAGATGTCATCGGCTTAGAATCATTATCGGCTGCAGCATCTCGGAATCAGCCGATGTGAGTTATCAAGTCACCAATAGTCGGATTCCTGCTATATTCGGTTAAGGAAATCAATCTACTAAAGGAAGCTTATTCCTAAGTGACCGAGTTTAAAGAGGATGCGGCATGGCAGTTTATCTATTAATTAGGAATAGTTTGTTAGTTTTCTTTTATCTTTAGAAAAGTTTGTTTAGTGTCCGATAAGGACTCTATATTTTCCTTTTATCTTTAGGTAGTTTCTTTCTTGTCCGACAAGGACTTGTATCAACCCATGGGTATAAATATGTACACCCGGGGTCTATGTAATCGATCTCTACGATCAATACAATTCGGCGCATCGCCACCATTTTTATTTCTACTTTTGTTTTTACGTTCCGGCAGGACTTGGCACCCGACGCGGGGCTGCATCGTCTTCGATCTCCGGCGAAGGGATAAGTCCAATGTTCCGTCGGCCCAGGCAATTGTATCGTCTACATCGGCGTCGTTCAAGGCTGCATCAGTACATTCGACCTCTTGGATTGCTCTGGTTTAGATGATATACTTGCCTACCTATTTATCATATGTCTCTGTTAATCTAGTCTTAGCATATCAATTTAGCTCTATCGGCTGCTTCTCGTTTTAGGGTTTCTGCCGGTATCGGCTAAATCGCGTTGCTAGATTAGATTAGCCTAGGCATCTACCACCCTGAAAATCAGTCATCGGCTTGATTGTCTAGATATTATGTTTCTTTTTATACTTAGTGCTGCATCAGTTAATTTTGATCTACTAAGTCGTGCTTAGAACCATAATCTCTAGCCTGCTTATTGATTGCCAATAAGGGTTTTATCGGGGTTTCAGCCGGTGAGTTATCTGGACGTTGCATCGGCTCATGAGGATTGCATATACATATAAGTTGGATTTAGCCGATGACAACAAAGGTTTCATTGTTTAATCTAATCTTGTGGATTTCATGACATCGGACCTCTAGCCGATGTGTGCTTTAACCTTCGTATCGATGCTTATTTATCATATCATTGCTAGCCGATTAGTTTATATTGGATTATATTGTTATTTTATTACATCATCATCAGCCGATTGCCTTTATATCATTATCTACATTGGACATATAGCCGATTGCTTAAACCCTATCGCTATCGGCTGGTATTGGCATCGGCTATTATCGACTATCGGCTGGAACTACTCCATCGGCTTGTCAGCCGATCGGCTGTTTGATCTATTATTTACAAATCTTATCAGTTGCAGGATTAAACTGACTGGCACGCCTGTATCTCATTAATCTTTGGACGTGTACAGGACCTAAGCAGATCTCCCAGGCCGGTGTGTTCGATTTTTTCATCAACACCTCGCCGGCGCCTGCACAAGGCTGCCGCGCGCCACACCGCAAAGGCCTCCGTGACCTGCGTCGCGCCCACGAAATGCTTGTGCCAGGCCACCATCGACCGCGCCTTGCCGCCGCACTGCCGAGCCTCACTGGCAAACCGCGTCGTGCCGCCACCATCAGGCCGCGCCAGGTCGCCGCGCGCCGCGCCACCCCGTGCCCGGCCTCACCATCCGCCGTGCCCGCGCATAGTTGGCCCACTGCGCAAGGTCACCCATAGTCAACTACCGCGCCGTCCGCGCCGCCCGCCACCGTGCGCGCTTCCGCATCGCCGCCGCCGCACGGCTACCTTTCTCTGTCGCAATGCGCCGCCGGCCGCCTTGGGCTCGACCCACGTCGACGAGCCGCACCGGGGTGAAGGGAAAGGCCGGGGGAGAGAGAGATAAGGGAGAGAGAGAGCTACACACTGACATGTGGGTCCCACCACGTTGAGTCCGCTTGTCAACCTAGTCAACAACGCCACGTCGGATGAAACCGCCAGCAAAACCACCGAGGGAGGTGATTTGCTCTGGTTTTTAGAGATGAAGGATGCGTTATACCCGGTTTTCCAGTTTAGGGATGTTATTCACGCAAGCGCAAGAGATGAGCGAGACAAAAATGGACTTATTCCAAACTTACAAAGTAAAGAAAAAAGTACACCGAAGGTCCCTCAACCTGTCATCCAATATACAAAATCGTCCCTCAACCGCAAAACGAGATATCGGACGTCCCTCAACTAACAAAACGGTTCACTTTATATCCTTTGCTGGTTTTGACCCCGGTTTTGTTCTACGTAACGGCAGAGTCAGCATGGGTCCCACACGTCAGGTGACCACGTCATCATCTCTCTCCCTTCCTCATCTCTCTCTCTCTCATTTTTTACAGCATACGGGCGGCGCGGTGGCGCGGCGGCGACGGCTGGCCGGGAGCAGCGGCGGTGGGTGTGAAGGCTGAGGCGGGGCCGGGCGCCGCGGCGACGGGCGCGGAGGTGGAGGCAGGCGCCATGGCAGCCGTAAGCGAGCTTCTTGGTGGCGATGGACAGGCCGCGGAGGAGCGGGAGGATCTCCGGATAGAAACCGAAGCTATGGAAGGCCTGCACCGAGAACGATTCGATCCGCCACCTATGCCGACTCCGGCAACCCCTGCCTCAACTTCTTCTTCCAGGTCGCGGTCTTCCATGGAGCTCGCGGTCAGGGCAGCCGCCACGGCCTCATGCTCCTCCGGGCTCGCCGGGTGACTGTCGCGGCCGTGGCGATCGCCGTCGAGCCGGTGAATTTGATGCTCTAATAGCAGTGTTGCTCCCATTTGCCTGACAGGTATTCTACGTTACGCGGACCTAGCAAATCTGGCAACCATTTTTTCTTGCGTACTATGAATGGTTAGCTGCTCATTTTCCTCCTTTGCTATATGTGCATAGGAGGCCATACGCCTACATGACCAGCCGATGTTCGAGCGGACCAGCGTCCCGCCGCCACCATCGACTTAGCCACTCGGCCAACGCACGCCGTCCTCCGCGGTCATCGTCACTGCCGAACCCGCGAACGCGCAGGGGAGCCTCCTCCTTGGGCTCCGGCTCGGTGGGTCGTCGAGGCAGCTCGTCTCGTCCCTCCAGCGAACGGGTAGCAGCAGCATAGCCAACACCGGCGTGACGCCCGAATGCAGCGTCCAGAGTTTGCTCCGTGGACACTGGTCCCATGGCCGCTGCCTCCTCTTTTCTTTTCTTCCCAGGATGCATAGTGAATGAATCATTGCTGTTTACTGATTTTGAAATGCAAAAGGAGAAATTTTCTGAACCTCATTAATGTTTGAGAGAATTTTGTACATTGCTCTGATTATCACATCAGGATGATGGGGATATCAGTTGAAATGCAAAAAATAGGAGGACAAATTTTTTTCGAGCAGAGTATTGAAACGCAAAAAGAACAGGAGGAAAAATCTTCTGAATAATGCCATCAGTAACAGGTTTTTGATGGAATTCGATGGATTTTGATGACACTTCTTCAAAATTTGTCGATAACATAGGAGTGAACTATCTAGCGAACGCCATTTGTAGGAAAATGCGCTGTATGATTGGATTTGGATCTTTTGGTCTGAACATGTAAATATTACCTGAGACGCTACTAAATTAATCTTAACAACTCCATAATCCATGTTGCAACTTCGAATCCATAAAAACATTAAAAACAGCATTGGTACGAGTGAGTATCACTAGTTCAAGCGCACTGGTACGATGAGGATTACCATGAAACGAATCCATAAAACAGCATTAACCACAAGTCTATACCTAACATAATGCCAAAAAGGGTTAACATAAACCAACACCTGAAGCACAACCTGCTTGAATTCTGAATCCCAGATAGGCAAGCTACAGAATTTGGGCCTAGTTACTCAGCACAGAGTTTTATGATCATTACGGAAACAACTAGTTGCAAACTTCTGTTCTCATTCCTCATCTTCCTCCTCACCGTCACCGCCACCGCCACTTGCCTTCTTCTGGTTCTTCCTCTTCACCCTACCAGGGGGGCCTCCACCGAATGGGCTTGTCAGTGAGAAGTCAATGTGCTTCTCAGACTCAACCCTCACCATGAACGACGGGATGTTGACAATTTGCCTGCCGACCCTGCACAGTGATTTTGAAACTTTAATGAATGAACTTCAGAAAGGCTATCAACTTGGAAAAAAATATTAGCAATAGCAACATCATGTTCAACTTATGGTCGACAAGTCCTCTAAAATAGTAGTAACTTTAGAGTGCATTAAAGAATGTTGTGGCAGTAGCCTTTTTCAGGACAAAATCATGTGAAGTTGCCAAATGGTCTCATCATCGCTAATCTAGAATTATAACACTGCAGCAGGCATGTAACGAACTACAGCAACAGCAAGTGGTGCGTGCCAAATTGCTTGTTCAAAGTTAAACATCACAGGCAATATGTACATATGAAAAGAGTAACACTTGTAAAGGAACATTGATGTAAAGGAACATCATGTAAAGTAACGAACTACAGCAACAGCAAGTGGTGCGTGCCAAATTGCTTGTTCAAAGTTAAACATCACAGGTAATATCTACATATGAAAAGACTAACACTCTCAAATGCGACATTGACAAGCCCAACAAGAGTATCAAATGCACGAAAAAGACTAACTTGAAAGCATCTGCACACTCAAATGATGGGAAGTTAACAGGAGTACAGGACCAATACTAATATATTATGGCCTTCAGCTTTCAGCTAATAGAGCATGTGTTGTGCCTAAAATGACATTTTAGCTCTGCCTACACAATGCTAGATCAAGAGAAATGATGAATATACAATGAACGATTACTATGAGAGAATGATACAGCTTCCATGCTGCTGTAGAAAAATCATATAGAAGCATACTTGGGAATTGAAACTAAAGAGAGAACATACTGAGACATGGAAATTGTAATATAAAGGTTAGAGCTTCATATTTACCCATTTACAAGACAGGAGATCTGTAGTAGTTAAATCATCATACCTGATGTGGCGTTGCCTGATCAGGACACGAGCATGGTGGATGGACTTGGCCATGCCAGCCTTGAAGACAAGAGTCTGAAGACGCCTTGCGAGGAAGTTCTCAACAGTGAGGGCAAGGACATAATCAAGCTTGTTCTGCCCATCAGCAAGGAGCCCATAACGGTTCATGCGGCGAAGCAGTGCCTCACCCTCAAAGATGCGGCGTGGATTCTTCTCATCAAGTGTGAGCAGATGCCTTGCATTGTTACGGATACGGCTCAAAGCATACTGAACACGCCACAGCTCACGCTTGCACCTCAGTCCATACTCACCCACTAGCTTCAGCTCTGCATCAAGACGCTCCTTCTCGTAAGGGCGACGTGGCTTCTTGAATGTCTTACCATCTGCAATGAAGTAATAAATTTGTTCACAACACATGACAGAGAAAGAAACCACTGCAGATAGCATAGTTGTTCATGAGGAACCAAACAATAACATAGAAAGAAGCCCTACAGTCCCAAATTCCTTATATCCTGACCCCAAAAATATACAAAGCAAGAAAGAAACTGCACACACAACCCGGAAAGACAATGCAACAATACAAATAAAGAAAACTACAGTAGTTGTTGAGATTACGCCCAATAATAGTATGGATATTCAAGACAAATAGTAGTAGGGATCTTGTGTACAGTAAATACTAAGAGCTTCAGATATACAACCATGTTTGACAAGGATTTAAAAAACAATTCATAACATTGTGTCTGATTAACCCAAGAATAGCTTACATGCCAGATTTAGTTTTGCTGTGTTATCCCTGGTTGCCCATATCATACATACCTAAATTATTTGTCCTGCTGTAAAATGGAATTCATGACCTAAAGCGACAATACTTGAAAGATCTTATCAGGGACTATCATATAATATATTTAAGAAAATATACATATAGAATGCAATTAGTATACTACAACTTACACAGAAATTTTAAAAAAAATTAACAAATATAGTTCTCGATGGATCACTCTATGGACAAACATACAGTTAGTGCATTACAAGTATATAGTCCTCTATATTAAGCGCCATTATTCATTTTCATAAAAAAATTCACAAGCTTATGCATAACTCCATTCCACCAAAATGAGTGATCAAACAGAGTATTTGAGAACAAAAAACTCTAGTTAATGAATATCATATTTCCAGTCCTTAAAACCGGTAAATTATCAAATTTTGTACCATAACAGAAATAAACATTTTCGAGCTACATAATACCAAATGCCAGAGTAAAACATGTCCTCATTCCTCAGTACTATACAACACATATTAGCATTCTAGTTAGAACCCCCAAATAATCTACTACATATCTCGAAATTAAATCCGGACCACACACAAGTTTCAACTACAGAATGCGCAGTCAGTCGAAATCAGCACGAACTAATCGGCATAGATACGGATCCAACGCAGTGGAAACGAGAAAATGAACAAAGCTACGGGAACAGAACGCATCGAGGCAAATCTTGATCCAGATCATCTCGCCAACCGAACCAGCCATCGCCTAATCACCTAACCGACACTCGCTAATCAACTAAGACACATAAGCAAGAGAAGAGGGAAAATAAAAGGAGAACATTCTCTCGCTGCGTCAAATCGCACTAGCACCAACCAAGACGACGACGAAGAACACAACAGGTAAGGCCCGCCGTTCTTGGACGAGAGAGAGGGAGAGGAGGAGGAGGAGGAGCTACGCACAGTTGCGGTAGAAGCTGACGTGAACCATCGTCGCCGGACCGCCTCTCACGGGCCGCCGCCGCCGCCGCCGATTGCTGGAGCTTTGGTTTCTCGAGGGGAGGAGGAGTGAGGAGGAGAGCGCGTTTATAGTGCGGCGGCGAGAGGAAACCCTAGCTTTAGGGCTAGGTTAAATGGGCCGAGATTTCCCGGCCCATTAACGGACGGGTGGGAATTAGGCCCACATATCGAATGGGCCTTCGGTGCAGGGGCCATATTTACACCGCTCGTTAAATGGTCTTTTTCTCGTTCTTTTTTCCTTATTTTTATAACAGAAATGCTAGTCACCGGTATACTGTTTCGAGTCGGTCCCGGACAGGACAATTTCCCACGGATCAAACACACACCCTCACGGATCAGATACACACACTCGAGAAACATTGAGTCACTCCCAAACAGACACCTGCAGCTCCCAAATCGTCACGAGCATGGCTGCGGCGGCGGAGTCGCCGGCGGCGGAGCCTTCTTGCGGCTCCTCCTCTTCAGCGGCGCCGATGCGCACAAGGTCAGTTGTGCCAGAGAGGGAGAGTGGCGTGAGCGTGGTGGTGGCGGCTGTGGCGGCGGTGTCTGCGGCGGAGCCGGTGGCATCTGCGGCAGAGCCGGTGCGCACGATACCCCTTTCTCTCATTCCTCTTTTTTCATCGATTTCCTGATTTTGATTTAACATCTCTTCATTTTTGCATTTTCTAGGGTTTGTTGAATCACTAATCTTTGGATGGGGCTCATCATATCACATCCAAATTGAAATCAAAGTAAGCTAATACTCTCTCTCTTTTTTCTGTGTGTTTTTGTTCATTCACTGGGGGTGTTTGTAGCAGAGGTGAGGGATGTGTGTATGTGCTGAATCATATGATACTTGATATGATATTTGCAGCAAAATGTTCGAATTGGAATAGATCGCTTGAAATGCTTCTAGCTGTAACAAGTATTGCTTGGAGCAAGCAATTTTGCCGTTAACAAGTACACACTGTCTTAAAACAGAGAAATCTCCATTCAACTAGTAGGATTTTTTTTGGGTGAACTGAAGTGTAAACAAAATCAGAGAAATCCGCA